TTCTACTTCCATTTGTACATTCGTAGTGGCGTTTGAATGCGATGTGGCCTATACAATGACTTGCGGGGGCCAGCCGATGTACAAGTCAGTGTTTTTATCCTCCCAGACAAGTCTGGTACCAATTAACCGACCCCGGAGGGATGGAAGGCTTGGTTGGCCCGGGCGACTCACGACCCAGGATTTGATCCCCGGACCGCTCGCGTGGTAAGCGTACTTGCACTACACCACTTCCGCCCCTGGGATTTATATATCCCCACCAATTTTCAAGTGGAAGTAAACGAACTCGGTCTGTGTTGTCGGCGATGTTGCTTTCGGTGATGAATCCGACAATATTTTCTTCCTTTTTCGTTTCCGTAGAAGACGCTGGAATTGAAAAATCCTGTTTGAAGCACTTGTTGACAGCGCACTAATCGTGAGACCACAATAGCTTCCTTACACTAAAATCTGCGCGCCAGATTTGTTGACGAAAAGTGCTACTTCACAAGATTAACCATGTTGTTATCCTCCTCTCATCTTCTTCGGATGAACTTGAAAAGCCGTTCAAGTTCCTGTATATGGCGCGCCCACACCTTCTATTTTACAGGCGGCTTTCACGATAAAAAGCAGCTCCATTGGAAATAAAGGGTAGAGGTGGTCAGTGGAGCAGGATGAAGAAAAAACCATGAGAAACGGCCCAGAACCCGAGAAATGGGACCCCTTCCTTGCCCGTTGATTTGCGCATTGATGCGACTCTCATCGCTGTGCCCTTTCAACACTACGCTCTCTTTGCTCGTTCCGTATAGACCTGCTGCGAGTGACTAGATAGTCGGTGAGTGTTCCGGGTCAATCGCGTCAAAGAAAAGGACATGTCAAATTGCTGGCGTTATTGTTTGATGCGACTGCGAGTTGGTCCACATAAGGGGTCCGCCCGTCTCTCCACTAGGTAAAATCCGTTTTCCGATCTTATCGTGGAATCCTTCTTCAATATAATAAAAATTTATGCTATGTGTACGGCACATACGTAGCAAGTGGAGCAATCCAGATTAGGAAAACAGAGAACAAATATTGCAGAAGTCTAAAGTAAGTAAGGCGGGTTTGAAAGAACTAAAGTAAGAATGCCAATGGGAACACGTACTTTCCACTTTGAAGTGATATAATTTGTTGGTGGTGGTGTCCGTTCCTCCAAGTGGTGCCACTGGGAACTGCTCACTTTTGTGAGCTGAGCTGATCACGGACATTCGAATGCAGGCGACAGGCCCCCGTGACAGGCCGGCCTACGAACACCCACGTCACATCACAAATGTCAATGTCGCTAATGAATCTCGAGATAATGCTACGGCGTCCGCGGGAGCCGACGCGCACTCGCAAAGCCCGGCGAGTGTGAAAAGTATGCGAGGGTCTCCGGTGCAAGGACGGCATCGGGGGGCAACTAGGCTAGTCCAAAAGTCCCGCAAAGCTGTGGCTGTTGCTAGAGCAGTTCATCTCGATGGCGTTAGCAAGAAGCTCGAGACGCGCGATGGCGAACGCTATATTTACAAACTAGCCAAGGCTCGCCATCGCCAGACCGAAGATATCGAGAAGTTCTTTCGGCATTAATGACGAGAACGGGCGACTCGTAATGGACCGCAAGAGAGCGGTGGCACGACTACTTCGAGAGAATCTCGACAGTAGAATTCTCACATCCGGCCAATCCCTTCTGCCCTCCGGTTTACGGTCCCTGTCTCGAAGATAACTGTGAGCGAAACAGAGGCGGCTTTGAAGAAGATGAAGACAGGTAAAGCAACGGGTCCCGACGACTTGAGCG